AAATTCTTACAGTAAGAGAACCCAATAGATGAGTCTTGGCTTGGCTTCCTTCTTGACAATAAGGTATTTAATAGTGGAATGATCAGCGTAGATTATTACCTTATTCGCAATGAGATATGGCCGAAACTTGTCAAAAGTGATGACTATAGCAAGTAGCTTTTTCTCAGTTGTAGCATAGTTAAGTTGGGCATCATTAAGGGTTCTGCTAAATAAATGGTATGAAACTGCTTGTTCTTTCACTGCCCCAATACCGCGTCAATCGCATAATCACTTGCATCACACATCAATTCAAACGGTAGATCATAATCCGGAGCTATAACAATCGGAGCCAACACAAGCTTCTCTTTTAGTAACAAAAATGCCTTGTCACATTCTTCATCAAACACAAATGGTGTTTCTTTCACGAGCAAGCTACAAAGGGGTTTGGAGATCTTGAAAAAATCCTTAATGAATTTTCTATAAAATTCGGCATGTCCAAGAAAGCTCGTAACTCCTTTTATTGTTGTTGGTGGTGGAAGCTTCTCGATTGTCTCAATTTTTGCTCTATCTACTTCAATTCCCTTATAAGAGACCTGATGACCCAAGACAATTCTCTATTTTACCGTGAAGTGGCACTTTTCCCAATTAAGCATAAGGTTAGTTTCTTCACATCTCTTCAAAACTAACGCCAAATTCCCAAGGCAATCATCAAAAGAAGATCCGAATATGGAAAAATCATCCATGGAAATTTCAATAATCCGCTCTTACCATATCCGAAAAGATTGCCATCTTATACCTTTGGAAGGTGGCAGCGCATTGCAAAGCCCAAATGGCATTCTACGGAAAGGGAAAGTACTGTAAAGGCATGTGAATGTGGTCTTCTCCTGGTCCTCCGGTGTTATTGCTATTCGATTATACCCTGAATAGCCATCTAGGAAGCAATAGAACTCATGCCCGGCTAGCCTATCCAACATCTGATTAATGAATGGCCAGGGAAAGTGGTCCTTCCGAGTGACTTTGTTCAATTTTCGATAATCCATGCAAATTCTCCACCCGGTAACGATTTTTATAGGGATCAACTCATTGTTAGCATTCTTCACCAATGTCAATCCTCCTTTCTTTGGTACTACTTGAACAGGACTGATCTATGATCTATCAGAAATTGGGTAAGTTACTCTGGCATCTAACTATTTTAAGACCTTTTTAAACACCACTTCCTTCATTGTTGGATTGAGTCTTCTTTGGTGCTCCACCGTTGGCTTGAACTCTTCCTCTAGAAAAATTCGGTGCATACAAATAGAAGGGCTAATTCCTTTGAAATCTGCGATTGTCCACCCAATTGCTGCTTTATGTTTTCTAAGCATTCTCAACAACTTTTCCTCTTCTTCA